TAATACGTCATCCCAAAATAGAAGCTAATATCTTAATGTGGCCTTGAATGACAAATGTTATAAAACCTCAAAGGTTTTTATCACAGACGAGGCAGCGCTCATTTCTGTCTTCAGTCTGACGGCGCGCCGGAGTTTGCGCAGCGTGCATGCTTATTGAATTTGTGTGTGTGTGTGTGTGTGTGTGTGTGTGTGTGTGTGTGTGTGTGTGTGTGTGTGTGTGTGTGTGTGTGTGTGCGCTCGCGCGCGACACAGCTCCATGGAGCTTGGTTTATGCTTGACGCATTCACTTTCCGCTTGGTGATGCGGCTCGCGGATGGAACGCGCTTCACAACTTGCAGAGTTTAAGTCACCGCGTCTCGTTATTGGTGCTATTTAAACCAATGTTGTAAAATGACTTCTGCCCAGCCCAGATGTGCTCACTTGTGCACCCGTGAGCTGTGGTTCCGCTGGAACGCGTCTGACCTCTGACAGACGCACTCTGAACTTCAGATCTTCAGCGCGCTGTTAATAGCCTGAATGGGAATCATTTCTTGATTTATTTTGTTACATCCACAATGTTCTGTGTGTGAGGTTTACAATGTCAGAACACCTGCATGAGACAGGGTGTTAATTACAATCTGCCAGAATGACTCACCACCTTCAGATTCCTCCAACACCGTTAAAAATGATCAATTCCAGAACATATCGGTGTGCGCAGGCCAGAGCGCTGAAGCTCGGCGCATTGTTATTATGAAGCTAGGGCACATGCGGAGAACACGCGCGCAAAAATATACTTGTTTTCAATTACATTTATTGGGCCCACTTAATTTTCTTTGGCCCACCCACAAATGAGTTTCTGGCTACACTAATGGTGACATATGACAGACTTCTCTGAGCTCCGCAGCCATTACACTTTTCACCTCGCGCACCCCCTAGCGGCAGCTCGCGCACCCCCGGGGGTGTGCGCACCACACTTTGGGAATCCCTGTTCTAGAGGATGAATCTGTGCTCCGCTCCCACACTGGAGACAAAATAACAAGTGCTAAGTCTGTTTTAAAATCAGAGACTGTTGCTCCAAATGAAATAACCAGAACCCATTAAGATCCTGTTAATAAAGAAGCTTCAGTGGGAAGAAATCCTTCTGGATGATTGCACTGCACTGGTCTCTCCGAGCTCCTGTCCACTTGCGAGCGCAGTCGAGAACGGTGTCCAAGTGTGAGATGATGCTCTGATGGGAATCGTTTCTTGATTCGTTTTTTACTGCAGAGGTGTTCTCGGTGCGTAACATTTAAAATGTCTGCGCACATGCATGAGTCGGAGGTGTGTATTGCAATCTGTCAAAATGACTTCAGATATTAATGTCAATGTTAAAAAATAACAGTCAAATGCGGAAATTATTAGTTATGGCTAAGCTGTACTTATTTCAAATGACTTTGGTCTCTAAAACAGGGGACGGGGTTATCAAAATACTTTCATAAATTTCTAAAAAAATCATTTATAATTACTGAAAGGAGGGAAACCAGATTGCTGCACCTTACCTACTGCAGGCAGCTTTCTGAATGGCCTCATATTTAAAATATGAGCTTACTTTTACTTTAATATTCAACATTTCAAAGCAGCTCATGTCAACGTTGTTTTATAAACCTTCACAATTTTGTATTTATTTTAGAAATCCACATAAATAACGAGATATTTTGCATGAAAGCTTTAATAAATAATATTAGCATGAACCAGATTGGAGCTTTTTCAAGATGACAGCTCTTAGGTGTACATTGCCTAGCTGTTAGCTCATCAGTCCTGAATAACATAAACTATTTTTCAGGATTGAGGTTATTATTATTTGTAACTTTAACATAAAAACACATTTCAAAATGGCTGAAACCTCCCTTAAACCCTCTCTGAGCTGGACAAAACCACTTCCTGTATTGTTTGTTACATTGTTATTATTTATCATGCATCATTTATCATGTAACATGTAAGTCAGGAAACATATTAGGATCAACTTTGATCGAAACATTAACTATCAGGCATCATTTTGAGGCAATTTTTAGAATGATAAACTAAAAAAACAGCAAAGGAAAAAATGTTCTTATATAAAAGTCTTTATACTGATTTGTTATTTTAGACTATTTCTTCACACCACATACAGTGTGTCGAATCAGGGTGCTGAATTTGATTGGATCTTTTATAGCCACAGTAAAAAAAAGCACACCAAGTAAGGAACAGTTTAGCTAACCTATCATTCTGTATAAAATAGCCTGCTAACGACACATACACCTACACACCATTAAATGAGTCAGTCAGGCTGGAATGAAAGCTATTTTAACATTTTCGCAGCACTTTGAATTAATACAAGAACTTTTTGCCTCATTTACATGAGAAAAGCGACCTTTCCCCAGGAAAAAGCACAATAATGTCACAGGCTTTTTCATCAGAATCAAGATAATAACATTAATCCCTGCTTGCGTCAGGAGTTAATTCGGAGTGATGTGAAATGACAGCTGGAATAACAAAATTAACTAAAATCAGTGCCAGTGTGATGACACAGCCGGGTGTTCTGGCTCATCAACACTAACCATGGAGATCTGAATGCGTCTGCGGTTGTGTTCTTGTTGAATTCACTGTGTTTTATTCAGCAAGTGAAGCTGAATTTTCTGCATTCCTACTGCAGAGTAGTGGTCTGTTTTGTTTCTTTTTAAATGCTGCGGGTGTTACTGAGCCACCCAGACTTCACTTTTCCTCCAAGAGCATTTCAAAGGACTTGTCAGATCTTAGCCGAACACACCTCCTCTGCCTCCTACATGGTCTGACACCAAACGTACAGAGGAATCATGGTAGAAACACATCACATCACTCTGGGTTCAAGGACAGTTCAGCTGCTCATTAATATATTAACCACCCCCTGCTGGACTGCTGTCCACTGCTACTTCCACAGTTTTCTTTCTTTTTCTCTAAACTAAGAACTGTTTCAATACTAAACTACTTCTTTTTTCGACAAGAGTTGTACATGAAAAGGGACTGTGGAGACATCTGTGTGTGCCTGGAAGTAATTAGGCCTGATTTCTCTCATCGCACAAAGCCAAAAACTCCTAAAGGTCAAAAACACAACAAAAAAAAATCTCTTGCAGAGTGACACTCGTTTCTTTTTTTTTTTTTTGTACACACGATCCTTCTAGTTTCTGAGAAGTCTTCATCCTTGTTCTACCCTTAAATGCTCCACAAAAGCTATTAGAAGTACTTTAAAGGTGTCCTCCTAGAACAGTGTTTCCCAGCCCTGTTTTCCATGTCTCTGCTTCAGCACCCCTGATTTACATTGGCTCCTCAGGAGGACCTCAAGTGCGCAGATGCCTGTTAATCACTCATTCATTTAACTCAGGTGTGTGGCAGCAGAGAAGCACTGGTGTTTAATACGGCAACGTGGAAAGCATGCAGGCCAGTGTGCCCTGAGCACCAGGGTTGGGAAACACAGTCCTAGAATTTAAAGCCACGTTTACCTTGTTGTGGTTGAATATAGGCAGCTTGGGGTGTCTACTGTAGCACACCAAAAAGCCTGCTGTCCTGTGTAAATTAGTAATGTTGTAACAATGAGAAAAGTTGGCTCAACACGTCATAAATTTAGACACACCCTTAAATCTGATTGTTCCCACTCACTTCAATATCAGCAAAATATGAGCGTTGGTGGCAGTAATGCTAACCACTGAGCAACAAAGCTCTGAGCTACTGCTAAAGTTAAGCCTGATTCATGCTTCTCCGTCTGCGTCAGTGTGGAGACACGCAAAGTCCTTGCGGGCCTGCTGGAGAGCTCCGCAAGGACGGACGGAGTCAAGCTCTCTTTTCTAAACATCCGTCTGTCGAGCAGACAACGTAAGCTTGTGATTGGTCAGGACGCCGCTGTCGTCCACACCGCCGCCATTGCGCCCTCAAAAACATAAAGAGAGCCGAGGATAACTAGCGGCAGACATGGAGCAGCTTGAACAATACCTCACAAAACAACTCTAAAAACATGAACGTTTAATTTCCCGTGACTGGATGAGTGAAAAGATGCGCAGCAAGCGTTTTATCTGTGGACGGAAATGACAGGAAACGTGGGTTTGGAGGTGGCGAGCGCATGAAGAGGTGGAGGAGGATGAGAGACAAATTTGTCTGTGTTAAAAAGTCTTTTATATACAAAAAAACACAATATAAACACACTCTTGGACCGGATACATGACAGGATACCACAGAACAGCGCTACGCCCTCTGTTGTCCTGGTGGGGAATTGCTTTGCAACGCTCTCCAGGACACGGAGAAGTATGAGGGCAAAACGCTTCCGTCAATCCGTGCGTGTCAGTCCCTTGCAGAGCTGACGGAGAAGCATGAATCAGGCTTTAGTCTGAGCTACTGCTTAACATTAGCCCAAGCTACTGATACTACTGCTAACACTAGCCCGAGCTACTGCTAATGCTAGTCCAAGCTACTACTAACACTTGCCCAATCTAGTGCTAAAACTAGCTATATGAGGTCCTGTGTTTTGGCACCATTTGTTATAGTTTAAGGTCTGAATAAAGCTCCTTTCTTGTTTGAATCATCTCCAATTATCAGATCTTACTTTTCTGGTTTTCTTTACTTCCGGGGAGGAAGACCGGTAACACTCTGTTTCTGATACACTCCCAAAAATACCATTATTCAGTAGGTTGGTTTTAAATGGATTTATATTGAAAACAAACAACACACCTTAACACCTTGGGCTCCTGGGCCATCGTGAACCCCAATAAGGTTTCATATACAAGGTTTCATATATATGAGGCTCAAAGGACAGTTTCTATTTGTTAAAAAAAAAGCCTTGGTCTAGCACACCTGTGTCCAGTCATTTGTTATTTAGTGTATAACTTGTGATCTAAGAGGTAAATCAGTGCAGTTTGGTGTGTGTGTGTGTGTGTGTGTGTGTGTGTGTGTGTGTGTGTGTGTGTGTGTGTGTGTGTGTGTGTGTGTGTGTGTGTGTGTGTGTGTGTGTGTGTGTGTGTGCGTGTGTGTGTACGTACGAGAGCTGGGTGAGATCAGTAGCGTGAAGTTTCAGCCTCTGAGTCAGCCGCTCCATCAGAACGGAAGCCCGCTCATTGGTGAGGGACCTGGTAGAGACACAAAACACGGCTAAAATTAAGGTTCGGAGCCTGAAACACCATCGATGTGCACAGAAATTCAGCCACTAAAGAGCTTTTTTTTTGTTATTATTTTCCAGGAGATGCTGCCACCACTCTCTCAAAAATGGGTCATTGCACACAAGCAAACGCTACGGTTGTCTGAACGGATGTGCTGTGAAAATTTGCACGTTGCAGACAGACACTAATAAACACACACGCAACTGTGCTGAGGGAAAAGGGATCAGCTGCCTCTCCAGGCTTGGTAAATCACCTGCTTTTTGCCAGCAATGAAACAAACAATAAGGTGCAAATGGAACCTGCATGAGGTGTAATGGCTGTATCATATGGACACTCCTTCCTCTCCTTCCTCATCTCATCTCTCTTCTTCCTCCACACTGACTTTCTCTGCCGTGCGCGCCCGCTGACTCAGACTGAAATGCGATAAGGCGGCGTACACAAACACACGCACGCGCCCTCACGGCAAGATGAGAATAATAAGGTGCAAATGGAATGGAGGTGAAGTGTAATGGTGGTCTGATAAAGCCATGCCTCATCTCAGCTCAGAACACAGCTGCTTTCTCACTCAGAGGGTAAATCGCCAAAGAAATAGACCAAACAAAGGCAATCTGCAGGCCGGCGCGTCACAGACAGGAAACGAGAAGACCATCCTCACCGAGAAAGCTACTTTATTGCCGACAGCTTAACCTGGAATCACTGCAAATCGCAGCGGAGTGAGTGCAAGGTGACAAGCACCCAAAAAAGTCATGGATCATAATGAGGCCCTGTTGAAATTTTGTAGCCACTCTATAATAGAGAAATGGGAAATAAACAGGGAAACAATTTCACGGAGGGCTGGGTATTGAGTGCAATATCATTTACAGAGAGTGTGTTCAGCTTTCAGACAATATTGCACCATTTTGAGTTAAATAAGGACTCTGAAGCGGACATATTTAAGTCAGAATCATGCAGAAATGTTTTGCTAAGGCTTGTCATTTCACTATCGGAACAAAAAAAATCAAACAGCTGATTTGTTTCTTTTTCTTTTGTTTTTCAAGGCTTTTAGAAGTTTGAAGCTTCACCATAGTGATTCTAGACACGTCCACATCCCTCTGCGGTAATTCTAGCAACTGGAGAGCTCCAGGAGTGACTTGATTGTTGATGCTTGCACTTTTCCCCCTTGGGTTTTTCTGTCTCTTTCTCCTGCATTCATACCTTTTCCAATCCCACCACCCCACATACCCTTTTTTTCCCTCTGCCACCAGTGCAATGTCAGGAGCTGTTGGATAAGCAGGCTTGTGTGGAATCGCTGCGGGGGGATGACAACAGTGCAATCATGAGGTCTGCAGCAAACGCAGAGACACCTCTAAAGGCCAAATGTAGGTGTCCACTAAGTGGGCGGAGGACAGACAAGTAGGAGGTGAAGATATTTCACTTAGAAGGTGACTTATGTCCTCATATATATATATATATATATATATATATATATATATATATATAGTATGTGTTAATCTGCTATTTCTATCTGTGCAGCAATAAGATGATGACTGTACTTACATCAGTCCTTTATGAGGCTACGCGTGTTGAGCAGGTGAAGGACAACCAGCTGACACTCCACTTGATATCGCCATAAAGGGATTTGAGAGAGCGCCAGGGGCAAAGGCACAGTCGATAGAAACTTATCTCCGCTGAGTGAAAGGTACAAGCGAAGGAGAGGCAGAGAGAAACTTGGCCGCACTTTCTCACAAAGTATCTTCATTAAGGCTGTGATACAGCGCTGTAATGCTCTCACGCCGAGGGATTTATCATCTCTGCTTTTGTAATCAGGTGCAGCGCGTACAAAAGATTTCAACCCACAGCATCCTCTCCCATAAAGACGGGGATATGTAGGTGGCTCTGACAGAAACCGAGCCTTTTAAAAGGTAGTTCTAAGTAAGCAGACACATGCTTGGTATTGAAGTACTTGAAAGAGGTCCATTAGTGTGTCAGAAGCAAAAAAAACTATAATATAAAGCAGCAATGAACATCAAAACATTAAGAACAAGAGGGGGGCTTGTACTACTGCTGGGGCTGCTTTTAAAATCACAGGATTTTAAAAACACAAAGGTAACCAAGGAGACTCCAATACCTTTATTTCTACATTGCTGAGGACTGCAGCCATATGTGTCGTTTTGTTTTATACTCAGAACCCCCAAAGTAACCCTCGTATTCATGAAATCCAAGAAAGTGGTTTATTTTCCAACAAAATTTCTGAATTTTGCCAAAAAATGGTCAGAATCCAAAAAAATATATTTTTATCTGTTAAAAAAATGTAAGCACACATTATTTAATTGTAAGGTTTGAGATATCTGGATGTAATTAAATTCACTGAGTCTTTCCTCGGATTTTTATATTGGGGTGGCTACTTAAAGAATATAGGTAGCCTAAGTGCCCATCTACTTCCTGGGGCCCATCTTCAGACCCCGGAAGAATAAGAAAATGAATGCAAGCCAATGGAGCTATAAAAGCTATTAATCCTGTTTGGTACATGCCATGGGTTTCATATGTGATGTCCATGAACTTTAAAGACTCATTCTGATGCCAAGAAAGTGCTTATTTTCAAACGGGGGCAAAAGTTATTTTAGGTTTTGTGTGAAAATATGTCCAGGACCACGATTGTGCCTCAACAAATTGACGTCTTGAACCAGACACAGAGAAGAGCCGAGGAAAAATGGCTGTAGGATCAGCCATCTTCAAACTCTTCCTTCAGGATTAAAGAACCACCTTAAATTTTGCCATGCAGTAAGTGTGCTGGGGCAGAAGAGATCCCGTGGAGACGTCATATATATACGACGTGCCGATGTTTGAATTTTAGTTATCGGAAAAATTAAGTTTCATAAAAAAACTTCTGGTCATAAAGCATTTATAATTAAAATTAGTACCTTCATCAAGAACATGTTTAAAAGCACAGATTCATGGTCCGAGTGGTCCCGATGTACTCCTGAGTAAACCAGAGCACTCAGAACACACCACACATGGTAGGATTATCTGATAAGATTATCTTTACAGTTGTTATGGTAATAATGCACAGTTTTAGGATTGTCAGAAGGGGAGTACCAGTTAAAATTGTCATCCTACCATGTTAAGAGCCTGCTGATCAAATTCAGAAAACAATGAAGCAGTTTAGTCGGTTTTCTGTGTAAAAATAATAAATTCTCCTCATTTTCTTTCATCGTTGTAAAGCCAGTCGACATTGGCAAACAAATGAGTGAAAATAACATTTAATCTAATTTATTCTAACAGGGTATATTCCTATTTGAAGCCTCCATATTCAGTGCATAAGTAATTGCAAGACATCCTTTAGATGATAAAACTTGATGCGTATCTATGAGGGATCCCACTCACTCTGAGCCGGTGATAATGTAGCCAAAGTGTCTGTCCTTCCCTCTGCTGGAAAACTCCTTCACTCCCACGTGGACCAGCTGGGTTTTGATTTTCATGTCCTTCTTCTGTGGCTCCTCTGGCTGCTGGTGTCCCGCTGGGGCCTGATCCGCCTGCATCCACCTCTCAATCTCAGAGTCAGACCCCCCTAGTGGACCAGTCAACCGCAGGGACCCTTCCTTTTCGGGAATGGTCACAACCTTCTCCTCAGAGAGGTGAGAGGCGGGGACCTCACCCTGCATCGTCCTGCTGTGGACGCTCTCCAGTCCAACTAATTTCTGGAGTGGAGCTGTTGGCCCGCGGTTGACTCCTGGAGCATCACCAAACGGTTCCATATTGAGGTAGTCCAGCAGCTTGGAGAAGAAGGCTGAATGCTGTTTGGAACAAACAAACAAATAATAAGAATGTTTTTACAGTTCTTTACTATCACTTGCCTTTCATGTGTCTGATGAGACATGAACTTTAAAAATCTGTTAAAGTAGCATTTATCATGATCGAAACAAAGGCTTGGACATAACTCCCTCCCTGAGAAACCAATTTATTTTTGAGCAGAGTAATTTAAAAATTCACCTCGTCTATGGACTCTTTGGTGACACCGTCTATTTGTTGGCCTGGAAACAAACACAATGTCCGTAGGAAGAAAACAGGTTTGCCTTTTTGTACAGCAAAAACAACAAACCGTTGTGACTCTAAATCAAAGACTCAGAAATACATCTGGGAGCATTTTGTACACGAACAAAGCCTTGCAATAGCATTTATACATGCACAGCATCTTGCAGCTTTGCATAAATAGAATACAGTCTTTTCTTATTATTAATAATTCTCAAGAACAAAAACCAACCTTGCTGCTTCATTTTCAGCATTTCTTTCAGACCCTGCTCTTTCTGTGATTTCATGTTTTGGTCTTGATTTAGAATCATTGCTGCCAGTGGCTCCTTGCTATCCTTCGTCTCCCCTCTGGAGTCAGTGGCTCCTGGCCCTGGCTCCTGATTGACCTTCTGCAGAGCTCCTGTGATGACCTCAGCCAGGTGGTCCAGGTCGTTGCCCATGAAATCCTCCATGTTGACGCTGTGCCTCCCCAAATGGTTCACCGCATTTCGGAAAAAATGCTCTGAACAGACAAAATAAGATTAGATCGACAAATAAACAATACAAATGTGCTGCAGAAAGTAAGCATGAATAGAAATCGGCACCATCATACCGTCCACGGCACTAGGAGGCTCTTTTGCGGCGAGTCGGTTTGAGCCAGCCTTGAAGAGCAGTCTGTTGAGATCAGGCTGTGTCGTTTTGGAGCCAAAAGCAGCCTGTGGCTCTGCATGATCGCTTTGCACAGGCTGCATGTAGCTGAGGTAGTGAAGCTTCCCTTTGGGCCACGCCGCCTCACCACCTGAGATGCCCTGCTGAGTGCCTGACGCCCCTGAAAGAAGCTGCTCCAGATGGTTGGAGAGGAGCTTGCTCTTGTCCTGGCTGGAATAGGATGTGCTGAGCTTGGGGTGTCTGCCTTCTCCACTTTTGGAGATGACTTTGGTGACTGGAGGATGACCAGCCCCTTTCTGAAGGCTGTAGATGGTGGTCTCCTTCCAGCCCTGCTTTGGTTTTGGCTGGGACGGACTATCGGTGTTGATATCTTCATTCTACAATAAAAAAAGATGTGTTTCACCCTTTACTGTCAAGGACCACAAGCATTGATCAAAGCAATGAAAAAATATTTATGCCTAAATAACAGAGCAGTCAGTCAGCGAGGAGACATAAGACCAGAGGACAGCAGCAGGGATGTTGAGGGTCTTCATCAGAGATTTGAACTTGTTAGAAAAAATAAAAAATAAAAAAATAAACAAGGCAGGCATCAGAAAGAAATAAAAAAGAGAGGAGGTATTTTTATATAATACCACTCAAGATAAAAATCACAAGGCACTCACAAGAATGAAAAAAATTGAAATAAAATAAATCACAATAAGAAATCAGGAGGACATTTTTGGATAGAAATGCGAGAAAAAATGACTAAAATCAAATGAACATGTGTAACGTCCAAAAGGGTCAATTTTCACCTATATATTGATCAACATAATAACCTTTCATCTACAGCATAAATACACTCTCTGTTTGGCCTTCCAGAACCAGAAGGTTCTGCTCAGTGTGTGTAGACATTCCATGAAGACAAAACATTCAAACAAACCTTCTCTCCCAAGGTCCGACACTCTCTGCATGAATGCCCGACGTCAACATTATTCACCCTGAACAAGTCAAGACTCCATGACTTTTACAACTAACAAGCTTACAATAATCATATGTGATGAATAAACAAGATGTTCAAATGAAATGTTTGAATAACCTGTGCTCAAATCAATGAATTTAAAATTAATATTGTTCTTACAATGATCCATTTATATCACAAATCAGTATGTGTTTGATTTAACAAGTTAATCGTTGTTTACACATTACAATAAGATACATATTAAGGTTAAAAACATCTTGTATCTGAAGGAAGACGTGGCTTTCTGAGGGATGATGGTAAATACCGTATTTTCCGGACTATAAGCTGCTACTTTTTTCCCACGCTTTGAACCGTGCGGCTTGTAATGAGGTGCGGCTTTACTGAAGATTTTCCCTCACCTGCCAGGGGGCGCTTTAGCAGAAAGTGAAACAGGTGGAAGTCAAAAGTGGAAACTGAAGAAAGTGCTCATTTTAATTTAGCACATGCAAGCAGCTGGCACGACGAATTCTTTTCAAATCCATACCCCCTCATCATGGTACCTACACGTATGAGTTCATATGATGCCGCATTTAAGTTGAAGGCCATCGATCTGGCAGTAAAGGAGGGAAACAGTGCTGCCGCACGTAAGCTTGGCATGTATGAATCCATGGTCCGGCGCTGGAGACGGCAGCGGGAAGAACTCATTCAAGCCAGCTTCACCCGGGGATGATGACAGCGACACGGACAGCGACACTGACATCGCCACAGAAAAGGTATGTGACGAAGCTCTTCTGAGGCTGTTCAACTCCGACACTGAAGAAGAGAACTTTAACGGCTTTAGTGCGCAAGAGGAAGATGAGAGCGAATGACTTTTTCTGGTAGACAAGTGTGTTTTATTTACTAACCAGGCATGTTTAGTGTGCAGTTTTTATTTTCTAATCATCCAGGGCTTATTAATGCTGTGTCAGCGCTGTTCTTTTCTTCTAAACATGCACATTACCGGTGATAACGCGTCAGTTCTGTTTTTATTTTATAACCATCCAGAAATATGAATGCTATCAGTGCTGTTTTCTTTTCTAAACTTGCAGGCACGTTCACAAACACGCACACACACACACACACACACACACACACACACACATATATATATATATACATATATATATATATATGTGTGTGTGTGTGTGTGTGTGTGTGTGTGTGTGTGTGTGTGTGTGTGTGTGTGTATGTGTGTATATGTATATATATATATATATATATATATATATATATATATATATATATATATATATATAGTAGTTTTAGTCTGTGCACTTGTTAAAATGACCATACAAACTGAATGAAATATTTTGAATCTTGTATTTTCGAAGAAATGTGATTACATGGCGACAGGAAGTGCCCCAGATTGAACTAGACGTGCTAAAGGTAGCAACACTTAAACTAGCCTGAGAAATAAATCAGTGTGGTGTCAGACTGAAGTAAGGGTTCCTTAAATTATGTTGTCTTGTTGCTTTTTAGAGATAGTAATTATCTACTTCATTCTTTGCTCTGCTCAGACTAGCTGTTAGCTTATCTATCTGGTCACGAATGATCTATTATTCCAAAATGAGGTATTTTTAAGAGTTATCTGAGGTGATATATACATTTTTCATAATTATCAAAATTAACTCTGATTCATAATATATGAACCATTATTTTAAGCGCTGAATAATACATGTTAGCTTGCTCAAACACGTTACAAGGACAGGATCAGAAAAATATGTTAGCCTCAACAACAGACTTCAGACATTTTCTGTTTATCTCTTGAGCAGCATTTGTAACATGATCCATTTTCTACCTGGTCTGGGTTCTTCAGCAGCGTTTTATTTGCTCCACGAGGACATCAAATGGGCTGCACTGGGTCAGCATCAATGTGACAAGCTTTAGAATAAAATGAAAGGCAACCTGGGCTCCACGAGGCAGGGCAGGATATGAATAGGGATTCCAGATCAAAGACAACTGCCCTTGGAAATTGCATTATGGAAATCCCAGATGAGATAGTGTCACTCAGAGTAATTTCATGCATTTCCACACCACACAACACAACTTTAAAAGCATATTCCCACTGTTTGAAAAGTAGCAGCAATATCTCATCTAGAAAGGAGAAAATGAGTCAAAGTTGGCCATATGACTTTATACTTCACACATAATTAAAAACATATCTACATCACAATGAGATGCTGTATACACTGGCATTTAGAGGCCATTTCAGCATCTGGCTGTGTAGCCAGAGTTGAGGCTGGCACCAAACTGTGTGATTTTGTCCTTTCTTCTCTTTTTGACTTTGTCCTGCGAGGACGAGGAATCATTCTCTGCATCTGAGTCATAACGGCCCACGCACACAGCATACGGTCCATCCGATGCTCCGAACAACATTATTATCCAAGTCACTGCAACACTAATACCAGCTCTCTCCCTCGGTGCCATTTTCTGTCTTTCAAATGTATACAGGGAAAATGTCAGTCTTTCCAAGCCCGGCATACTGAGAGACCATAATGGCATTAGCGCAGCAAGACGGAGGTGCTCTGCCATTCATGCTAACCATGTTTGCCTCCTTCCATCAAGCTACACAACAAAGGAGCTCATTTCATCAATAAGGAAGGCCCTGAACTTTTCAACTTTGCATTATGGCTCCACTGACACAGCAGCGGGAAGCGGCTCAGCTATGAGGGGTTCAGAGCACATTTCACACAAAGCCGGGCGCTCATCCTAAATATGAGAAGTGAATAATGTAAAGAGGTGATGGAGGACCTTTGTGTAAAAAGGGTCCCTGCTCAGTGGGAGAGAGGGAGAGGACAGAAAGGGGAGACAAAAGAAAAGACAGAATGATGAGGGAAGGGACAATAAATGACACTTCAGCAAAAGGGACAAGACAGGAAGATGTCCTTTCAGTTATTAGATGGTGAATGTTTTGTTTACTTTGAAATCCAGAGGAGCACTGCTGGTTTAAAAGAATTAAGCATTTTACCCACTTTCAGCTATTACTTTCAAACTGGTTTCAGTGGTTCTTGAGACATAAACTTGAGCAGCTTCACAATGGACAGCACTCTGTAGTTCTGGCCTAGCATCAATAAAAAGCACAAGATGAAGATTTTTGCTGATTTGTTGGCATCGTGGCAGAGCCTGGACGTAAAAGTAAGGGGGAAATATGTTAGAAAGCTTAGAAACTAAAACCGGAGAGAACGTCGGCCTTGTTTCAGAGAGCTAAAGGAGGCTACAAAATCATGGACTGATAGTAACCTGGTGTTGTTGCTACTGGACTTGTAGTTTATACTTAATAGATTATCACTTGGCTCATGTTAGAAATAGCTCTTTGTTAGCAATGGCAACTTTTGCTTTTGGCTTTGCCCAGACTGTGGAAAATATCCTGTATAAAGTTTTGGGTAGGCTTAAATTAGTTCAAATTGAGCCTATAACCTTTTGGTCGTAAACCACAAGCAAGTGTGTTGGCTCTTTTATGTGAATAATCAGGAATTGTGTTTATGACTTTCTTGTTTTTTCTTTGGTTGTGGCACGTGCATATGTTGTGGCTGAATAAAGAAATATTAACAACAGCAGGTTAGGGCAGTGTTGTTTACAACAATTGTAATTCTGCTTTTCACCAGTAGGAGGGAGAAGTGGGAAACAGTTTTTGTGTTACTTTAATATCTGACCTTTAAACTAAAAAAGTGCAAAGGCTACAAAAATATGTCTGAAACTTTAGTTTTTACATTACAAATAAAAATAAAAATGATAAAGTAATCTGACTGTTGTTAAAAAATAAAATCATGAAAAATACATTTAGATGAACAAGTTACCATAATATGTTGTACTATTATAATCTGTTTATTTTGTAAGCCAAAATTTTCGAGCAAAATGAGCAAAATGTTTGCAGTCCAAGATTTAATAGCTTGTAGTGCCATTATTTTATTTATTTACTTATTTATTTTTGCAGGAATAACGTGAAATAACCAATTTAGGATCTGATTAAATCCTCTCACATGAATTGTTTGGATTAAAAACATAAAGGATTTTCCAGTTCAGTTCTAAATGGTCATATCTTTCATACCAGCACTCATGAAATCCAATAAAAATCGACTCCAAAAGATTTCAGTCTGAGCCCACATCCCTCTGATGTTTTATAATCACACAAGTCTTTCTTTATTCTTTTAGTTATTGATTCATCACAACAGTTTTTGCACTGAGTTGGACTCTCACCTGAATCTCTCGCTGGGCTCCTGGTTGTTGTTGATCTACCTCAGCCTGCGGCAAAAAGCCCAACCCGGTCAGATACTGCTGCAGGTTTTTGCTCAGCTCGGCCTGCGCGGGCTTCGGTTTTCTGTTTTTAGAGCTGCTGTACGTCATCAGGCGGCTGGGAGGTGCGCTCGGCTGGCGAAGGGGAATAGTTCTTAGTTTGGAGAGTTCTCTGGAGACAACCTGCTGAGTGATGTCGTCCTGCCATGTCAAACCTGGAAGCAAACAGGTCAGAAGGAAGTTAGTACGGAACAACTCACAGTTTGAGACCAACTTTTAAACACAATAAATTTGGGAATTGAAATAGCTTTTATGCCTTTTATTAGGTCCGAGCAGCGAAGCTCTATTGTATCTGCTCTGTTTATATTTCTTCCGCCAAGTAAATTGGCTTTTTGGAGGCCTTAACATACCTGAAAACTCAGGAATTTTTGCACACATGTCAGGCGTGGTGTAAAACTTTGTATTTTAAAGGTCCCAGAAAAAGTCGCAATAAAACTAGCTCCACAGCGCCCCCTAGAATGTGAAAAATACGCCCCTCCATAAAGCTTAGTTTATCGTACAGTTATGAAATTTTGGACATTTGTAGTACTCAACAGTCCGCACAGAAAAGCCTCTTGCAACCATGGTCAACATCAAGCAGAAAGTCGTCCATTTTGGTTTGAAGTGGTGATTTTGACCCCGTTTTGGCTGTTTCTAGGGTCCGCTTCTGATTGATTTGCTCGATCATTTTTCGCACCATCATCTCGAAAGTTGTGGTAAATTGCTCAGAAGGGATGGGCGATCAAATTGAAAAAATAAAACTGACTTTTCATATATGCTGAGGGGGCGTGGCCAGGCCTCGAAGTTCGACTACTCGCCAAAAAAATATAAATGGCTATAACTTCATACTCGAATAGAGTAGTTACAAAAATTTCTGTGGTCATTCAACATATAGTCACAAACTAAACTGAATGGTTGGATGATGACATCACACAAGCCCCACCACCTCAGGACCAAAAAAGTCAAGTTTTACTGTGATAGGTCCGAAATCGCCCCATTTCACTTAATCACCACAAATTTGTAGCTGTTAACTCAAGACAATTGGGGGTTGCTTGGCGTCACTTTATGGGAGTTTTCAAAAGAGGGCGGGGCTGTGGCGGCGCAGCAAAGTCAGGCGTACCGCCGTGGTCATACGTTTGACTCCCATTTTGTCATTTCTAAAGATATCACCACAAAACATCTGGTGAGTGATCCTAGTCCGGCCCCCCAAAAAATCTGATGTGAAAATCCTGTGGGTGTGGCCTATTTTCTTAAATAGCACCCCCTAGGTCCATTAAAACTGTTAGCCCCAAGCCACGCTTTGACTGAGGATTACAAAATTTGGTATACTAATGTAGTGTTTCAGGACCTACAAAAAAGTCTCTTGGAGCCAAGCGCAAAGTCGCACAGGAGGTTGGCCATTTTGGTCCAAGTACTCGATTTAGTGGTTTTCGCACACGTTGTTTGGAGAATGATACTCTGTCGCCCTTTTCACTGATCGCCTTCAAACTTCTGCTATATACTCTCAAGACATGGGGGGGGGGGGGGGGGGTACACTGTCTGCTTTTTCAAAAGTTGAAAGGTGTGGGCGTGGCTAAGCCTCAAACTTTGACCTGTCTCCACGCCACTCTTTTTTTCACAGTTCCCTATAGAACTCCTTTCACCCAATCACCAGCAATCTCTGGAAAATAGTAGTAGACAAGTTGAGGTCACTTGGTCACCAGTACTGGCAGGTTTCAAAAAAAGGCAGGGATTTGGGAGCATGGTGAAATTCGCCATCACGCCATGGAAATACGTTTGCCCCTCATTTCCTCAGTTATCGTGATATCGCCACAAAATTTCTGGTGAGTGATACTAGTCTGACCCCCAATAGAAATGAATGGTATAGGTTGGTGGGAGTGGCCTATTTTCTAAAATAACGCCCCCTAGGACCATTAAAACTCTCAGCCCCAAGCCATGCTTTGACTGAGGATTACAAAAATTGGTACACTAATGTGGTGTCTCAGGACCTACAAAAATGTCTCTCGGAACTAAGCTTAACGTTGCACAGGAAGACGGCCATTTTGGTCCAAGTACTCGATTTAGTGGTTTACTCACACGTCATTTGGAGAGTGATGCCCCGTCGCCCTTTTCAACGATCGCCTTCAAACTTCTGCTATATACTCTTAAGACATAGAGGGGGAAATTTAACCGTCGGGTTTTTCAAAAGTTGAAAGGTGTGGGCGTGGCTAAGCCTCAAACATTGACCTTTCGCTACTAAATTCATTGACGTAATGACTCCCATGCACATGATCAGATCTATATCAAACTTTGTCTATGTGATCACTGACCACATGTCAAGACCTAAGCCCCGCCCCCTGACAACAGGAAGTCAATTGTTTTATGGTGAAATGCCCATATTTGTCCCCTCCAATTTAGTCAACATGACACTAAGGTCATGCACTGTCTTCATGATGCTGTAATGACCATTCAGTTCTGATAGCTTTCAAGAAAGGGAGGGGCTTTGATGCCATGGTGAATTCTGGCATCACGCCGTGACCTTACGTTTCACTGTAACTTCCACAAACAGCCTCCGAGTGCAGAGAGTGAACATGGCAATCAACAGTCATGCCCTTTAGCCAATAAGGCCCAAACGGTTGGTGAACATTGTATAATGTCACCACAGTGCCCCCGACATACCTTTACAACTGTAATAACTCCTACAGGCAAGGTCCCAACTGCTCCAAACTTGCTTTATTTCATCACACAAAGGCACCCAACACAATCCTGAGGTCATTGGTGGATATCACTTTAGCTCCGCCCCCTGAGAGACATTAGGCCCTTAATAACACATGCATGATGCACTTCACACCAAACTATGTGCAAATGATTGTTGTGAACCTACTAACTGCTCCATGGGATGTTTTCCTAAATTTGGGACAGTGCCCCTATATACAATAAAACCTTTGCAACATTAACAAAAAAGCTCCAAACTATATCAAACATGGTGGGAGTCATCACGCAACTGCAATCAACACAAGTATCCCCAAGTGATGAGATGTGTAATTTAATGGTGGTCTCAGAGGAGATGCTGAGTCAGGGTGAGGTGAGAACGAGGACACCGTTCGCGGTTTCTGGTGTCGGGGTGGTCGACGTTCATGTTCCGTGGACGTGACTGGGTGCACCGGGCTGCCCGCCAGGCCGGAGTGGCACGGAGCTGCGAGGGCCGAACAACGCTGCTTGCAGCTTTTAATTTTTTTTCCGCATTTTTGAATGGCATTTTGGGGGTCTTATCAAATCCAAAAACTCACCAAATTCTGTCCCAATATAGAAAGTGCATGAAATTTACGTATTTCAATGGCAATGTGAAGGTTGCTAAAAAAGTAGCTCGACAGCGCCCCCTTGAAAATTAAAAATACCCCTCGGCTTTGACCTTTTTTTATAGTAGAGTGATGAAATTTGGTACACTTGTAGAACTTAACAATACGCACAGAAAAGTGTCTTGCACCCATGGTCAACATCAAACACTAAGTTGGCCATTTTGGACTGAAGTAGCGATTTTGACCTCGTTTTGGTCGTTTGTAGGGTCTGTATTTGGTTGAACAGTTTAGTCATTTTTCGCAAGATCGTCTCAAAAATAGTGTGCGATCGATCAGAAGGGATGGACAATTTAAATGAGAAAATAAAACTGACTTTTCATAAAAAACTGAAGGGGCGGGGCCAGGCCTCGATGTTTGAGCACTCGCCAAAAAGATTCTATTGGCTTTAATTTCATAAATGAAAGAATTATAGTTAGAAATATTTTTTGTGGACATTCCTCATCGGCAACCAAAGAAAAATGAATGGTCCATTGATAATGTTACACAAGCCCCGCCCCCTCAGGACTAAAAAGGTCAAGTTTTACTGTGAAATTTCCCAAAATACGCCATTTCGTATAAACACCACAAACTTGTAGCAAGTAACTGAAGACAAGTTGGGGTTGCTGGGCCTCACTTTACAGGAGCTTTCAAAAGACAGCGCAGCTGTGATGGTGTGGCGAAGTCAGGCGTAACGCCATGGCCATACGATTGCCTCTCATTTAGTCAATTCTACAGCTATCGCCCCAAAATTTCTGATGAGTGATCCTAGTATGATCCACAATAAATTTTAAATCAAAAGTCGGTAGACATGCCAATTTTTTGAAATAGCGCCCGCTAGCACCCTTTAAAGTGCCAGATCCAAACCATGCTTTGACTGCGGATTGTGAAATTGTGTACACTTATGTAGTGTCTCAGAACCTACAAAAACTCTCAAGAAGCCATGCTCAATATCCCACAGGAAGTCAGCCATTTTGGTCCAAGTACGCCATTTTGTGTTTTTTGTACACTTGAAAGGTACGCCAGTCCCCAAGCACCCTTTACCCCATCGCCTTTAAACTTTTGCTAAATACTCTTAAGACAAAGGGGGAAAAACTGAACCTATGGATTTTCCAAAAGTCTAACCGTGTGGGCGTGGCTAGGCCTCAAACTTTGACTTGTCACCACACCATGCTTTACTGTCAAAGCTCCCAAATTGACTCCTTCAACCTAATCAACAAGAATCTCTAGCATATTGCAGTAGACATGCTGGGGTTACTTGGTGTCCAGTATTGGCAGGCTTCAAAAAAGGGCGAAGTTTTGGGGGCATGGCGAATTTTGACATCACACCATGGAATTACGTTTGCCTCTCATTTCCTCAATTCAGATGTTATCGGTACAACAATTCAGGTGACTGATACAAATCCAAACCTCAGTAAATATTACCCTGAAAATCTGGTGGGCGTGGCTTAGTTTTTTCACTAGCGCCCCCTAGGTCGAATAAAAATGTCAGCCCCAACTCATGCTTTGACTGAGGATTGTGAAATTTTGTACACTGATGTAATGTCTTGGGACCTACAAAAAACTCTCTTGGAGCCATATTCAATATCCCACAGGAAGTCTGCCATTTTGGTCCAAGTATGCCATTTTGTGATTTTTGCACACTTCAAAGGTAAGTCAACTCCACAGCACCCTTTACCCCCAATCCCCTTGATACTACTGCTAAAAACTCTTAAGATAAAGCAGGAAAAACTGAACCTACAGATTTTCCAAAAGTCTAACGGTGTGGGCGTGGCTAAGCCTCAAACATTGACCTGTCACTACACCATGCTTATACTTTCAGAGCTCCCTATTGGACTCCTTTCATCTATTCAACAGCAATC